CACACACTCACACTCACACACTCACACTCACACTCACACTCACACTCACACTCTCTCTCTCACACACACTCTCACACACACACACACACACTCACACACGCTCACACACACGTCACAATACAGCGGCGGCCGTCACAGGAAACAGCATTAGAGACGACAAGAAACAACAAACATACAAATAAAAAATACATATAATGACTCCAATGTGTGTGTGAGTGAATGTCACCAAAACACTTATTTTACATAAAAAAGGTCAACAAAGACTAATTTTTTAGGGGTGATTAAGTACATTTATCCCTCAAATTCTTAATAACAGTACTAATTTTAGGATTTAAAAAAGGATCTCTCAAATTATCATTAAATAATAAAAATACAATAAAAAAAGTATTACTATAACGCATCTGGATTAATTTATTTATTGTAATTCTCATTATTCCTAAATATTCTCACCAAGGTAACAGTACATTTTTACTGCATTGCAATAAATAACGGATGATATTTCACATTAAAATGGTAAAGGCTAATTTTAGGACTATTATGTTTTTATTTTATTTTTTATTATGCTTTTTGCATTGTAACACTATTTTTGACAATTGAGTACATTCACCCCTCAGACTCTCATTAATAAAATAAATAAATAAATAAAAAAAGACCATTAATGTAATGCATCTGGACATTTAACTTTTTTTTGTTTGTAATTCTCATTATTCCTGTAATAAAAAAATGAATGATATTTTACAAAAAAAAACGTTAGTGAGGACTAATTTGAGAACTATTGTTGTTTTGTTTGGTGGTGGTTGTTTTGGATTGAGACACTATTTTTGACAATTAAGCACATCTACCCCTCAAATTCTCATTAAAACAATAAAATAAAATAAAAGTCATTAATATCTGGAATTTTTTTTTGGAATCCCCATTACTGTAACAGTGCGTTTTTACTGTATTGCAATAAAACTTCTAACTAAATAGTTTAGTTCAGCATAAATACATTACAACATTGGTGCATTCAAACAACAAATAGATCAATAAATGTCACATGCATTCACATACAGAAGTTTTGGGTGAATTATGCTTAACTGTAATGGCTGTTCATGCTACTGGTGTTATGTACAGGCTTTAATGTCTCGAAGTAAAATGCTTTATTCTCAGTGATGTTGAGCTGGATGTGTGTTCTGTGATATTGTTGTGTTCATGCGTATCTGGTTTCTCATAAAGGTCTCGCTGGCCTACTTCTCTCCGGCTCTAATTTTAACCGTGATTCTGTCAGGAGGAGCGATCCAGCGCTATATTCCTCATTCTCACTGTAATGGCTTATTAACGACTCAAATGTTATTCCAAACCAGAGCCTTTTGTTCTTGTCAGATATTAAGATGGGCTTTAAAAATCCCATTAGTTTCGCGCGGCAGATTTCCGCTGAGATTCGCTCCCTTCTCGCCACAGGCTCTTACGACACAATTCCAGTTCCTTCACAAACCCACACTCGGAGAGACGGAGATTCAGAGACGATCAGAGCGCTACTGTCTTCAGATTAGAGAGGAGCGAGTAAGACGCCTTTATCCCGGATAATCTGCCTCTAACAGGCCAACTTTAACCAGCACTGCTGACACTCACACATCCACTAATCAGCTTACAGATCATCAGATGACCAGCGCAGAGAATAACACACACACACACACACACTCACACGCACACACGCACGCACGCACGCACGCACGCACGCACGCACGCGCTCACTCACACGCACGCACGCACGCACGCACGCACGCGCTCACTCACACACACACACACACACACACACACACACACACACACACAGAGACACACACACACACAAACACAGAGCGAGAGAGACACGCACACACACACAGAGACACAAGCACGCGCACACACTCACACACACACACAAAGACACTCACACATCCACTAATCAGCTTACAGATCATCAGATGACCAGCGCAGAGAATAACACTCAGAGCAGCAGCAGATCTCGCCGTCTCTGTTGTGTCAGAAATATTTCTGTCCAGCCGGTGAACAGGAAACACTCGCCTGAACATCTGTTGAACTATATATATATTTATAAATTTTTTCTCTTCTGTGTGTGTGTGTGTGTGTCTCTCTCTTTCTGTGTTTGTGTATGTGTGTCTCTGTGTGTGAGTGTGTGTGTGTGTCTCTGTGTGTGCGTCTCTCTGTGTGTGAGTGTGTGTGTGTGTCTCTGATGTGTGTCTGTGTGTGTGTGCGTGTCAGAAGAAAGCGGCTGCAGCTCGGTGTGAATGCGGTGTATTCCCGGAGCTGATCAGTGAGCAGCAGCAGATGGTGGTGTTGATGAGGCTGAAGCGGCTTCACTCTCTCAGCTCTTTGAAAGCGTCGGTCAGAGAAAGCAGCGTCCCGTCGGGAAGAACCGCGCGTCTGCTGAACAATAGCAGGTGAGCAGATGTGCGCAAACGCAGACGGACGACTAACACGGTTTAATTTACTCTCAGACAGTGATAGACAGAAACGATGAGGACGAGAGTCACTGCAAACACTGATCACCTCGTCCAGCGTCAGGAAAGCACTTCTGCTCAACATCAACACTCATATTACGTCACTGCTCAGCTTGACCTGCACTGATTCTTGAGTTGTCCGTTTTCAGACAATCTGATATGTCGTGTTGTGGAATGTGCGCACAAAATTTCTATTACGATTATGATGGTTAATTTAAGTTAGCTGGGAATCAAACCCATAATCTCAGAGTTTGTTTTTAGTAACATTTTTGAGATTTTATGAATTAGTTGAATTCGTTTTTGTTTAAACTTTTAGTTTTCATTTGAATTTTAGTTATATATAATTTCGTTTTTAGCATTTTTTCTTTTTTTCCATTTCATTTCTTTATTTTTAGTAGTATATATATATATATATATATATATATAATAGTAATATAGCTATATAGTTCAGTTTTCATTTTAATTTTAGTGATTTCTTTAACATGTCTATACTAGTTTTATTAATATTTTAAATAGTTTTTCAGATTTTCAGTTTAATTTGGTTTCAGTTATTTTTGTCATTTGTATTAGTTTTTAATGTCTATAGTATTTATTAATATTTCGAATCATTTTTTTATTTTTAGATTTTCAGTTTTCACTTCTATTTTAGTTATAGAAATTTGGTTTTACAAATTTTTTGTCATTGTATTACTTTTTTAAAATACCTATATAGCCTATATAGTTTTTATTAATTCAGTGTTAGCACATTTAATCCATCAAGTTAGTTGCCTTTGCAACTAGATGAAATAAAACATGTTTAAGCTATTTAATATTTTATTTTCAGTTAACGTTTATATGAAACTTATTATAAAATGTTTTAAAAATTTAAATATTTACAATACTGTTTATAATATTTATAATTTGTGAAAACAAACATGTTTAAGAAATTGTTGTTATTTATAGTTTTAAAAATCATATGTTCTCGTCTTTATTTGTATTTTATTTTGTAATGTGTGAGAAGTATTAACATTTTTCACAGTGTGATTTTTGATAATTTTCCATAAAACTGTACCCAGAATATGACCTCACTAAAGGCCTTTTTACACCAAAAACAATAACTATAAGCATAAAGTTGAACAATCTACTCCACACAACAACTAGGAACGATGCCAAACTACCAGTGACTGACTGACAGTGACTTCGAACTCGAAACTAAAACAGTAAAACACGAGCTGAACATCTGAATCGGACTCTTCTGAGGTTTCTGGATGTTAATGTTTGAAGGTCTGGAGATTTCAGAGTGTTTGTGTTCATCTCTCTTCCCTCAAGTCTTGTTTTACATCTCTGATTTTTACCAGGGTTCGGTCCGGAGAGGTTTCGTTCATTTAGTCTTTAATAAACTCAATAGAGCTAACAGATCTGAGTTTGTCTGTGATCGGGGGAAATGAAACTCCAGAGGACCGAGGGCTTCACTCACCCGGCCGACTTCAACCAGATTGGTAACCATGACGATAGTTGCCGTGTTCTCCTGCCACACCATCCTCCAGAAGTCATAGATGGTCTCCTGCATCGGACCTGAGGAGCAAAGAACTCATTTCACACAAACAATCACGAGAATAATGTCGCAATACATACAGCACATTCACACTCTTTAAACATTTCTCATCAAATCCAGGTGAACTGTATTGCTCTATATTCATACAGTGTGTCAACAGCAGTGTTATTTAGTTTTTTCCTTATGCAAAAATAAATTTTGTTCTTTTGATTTTAGGCTGAAATGTGACCTGGACACTCGTTGAGATCGACTCCTCCAGCACAAAAAGCCATTTAACAATCCACTGAACATAATCCAGAGTGACACCGGAGCAGAAGTCATGAAGCCATGCTCTTTGTTGGATTATTGGATGTGTTTTCCAGCAGCGGAGCTGAAATTTCAAACACCTCATTCATAAATGCATGCAAACAGATTTGTGCGTCTGCGTTTCCATTAAAGCTCCAAATCAACTTAATAAGGGCAACATGTTAGCCAGCGCCCGGTAATAACAGCGCAGCCGAAGGAATTAAAATCACGCGTTTAATTAATTCTAATTAGCATTGTTTTTAATCAACAAGCAAATTCCAAAATGACTTTTGACAAGCTAATTAGCTCATGCAAATCTGCGCTCACGTTCTCCGGCGCTGATGCATTCGCTCTGAGCCAAAGCAAATTACATGCAGCAGAAAAAAAGACAGAAAAACACGAGCGAGAAGCAAGATTTTACATATTCATACGCACACAAACAGCGGCGTTAGCAAACACTCGTGTCCTGGAGAACTCTTTAGCGATGACTTTGCTCGTGGGCGAGTTCTCGTTATCGTCTGAGCCTGACGAACTTAATTAAGATCTGTCAAAACTAGACGCCTCTTAATCACAGTAATGTACTGGATCCTTCCTGATGTGCTTCGTTTAATTACATTTATCAATGTGAGGAGTGCAGATGACCGTCAGGAAGAACAGTAAACGTCTCAACAATATCTCAATCGTTTCTCACAGACAGAAATTAGACTAAATGGAGTGCTTTTCAGATGTTTCTCCTAAGAAAAGACTCCAGTATCTCACATAATCTAATATGTGTCCCTGCAGCACAAAAGCAGTGTTAAGTCGCTGGGGGATATTTGTAGCAATAACCAACAATACATTGTATGGGTCACAATTATACATTTCTCTTTTATGCCAAAAAATCATTAGGATATTAAGTAAAGATCATGTTCCATGAAGATATTTTGTACATTTCCTACCGTAAATATATCAAAACTTAATGTTTGATTAGTAATATGCATTGCTAAGAACTTCATTTGAACAACTTTAAAGATGATTTTCTCAATATTTAGATTTTTTTGCACCCTCAGATTCCAGATTTTCAAATAGTTGTATCTCAGCCAAATATTGTCCGATCCTAACAAACCATACATCAATGGAAGCTTATTTATTCAGCTTTCAGCTGATGTATAAATCTCAATTTCGAAAAAATTGACCCTTATGACTGGTTTTGTGCTCCGGGGTCACACATGTCTCCTCAAAGTCTCAAACTGCACTCAGTCAATGATCTTGTTATGATCACATCAACATTTTCCACACTCAAAATTGTCCACCCGTTTGTATATCTTCTGAGGAATTTTAGGAGAAACATCTGAGACAAAGTTCTTACGTCAATAAAAGTGATGTGTGAGCTATAAAAGAGAAAAGTCTGAGCTTGTGAACACACCATGATATAATGGTAAACTCAGCAATTTCTTGACGTGTTCTAGAGTGTTGACACTCCACAGCATCTCAATTTTTGAGCAATAACGAGTCCAAGCAATAACATCTATAATCCTAATCATGATAAACTCTTTGTTGTAGAAGTATTCCCAACGAGAAACACACACGCAGCGTTTAGATAATCCTTAACTAGCTAAATCCTAAGCGTAGATCGGATCTCACGTCCGGACCGCGCCGGGAGAATTGCGCTGACATTTGCTGTAATTTGCTGATCCTCTAAGCGGCTCGCTTCAGTCCGCTTCAGCTGTAAGTGGAGTCAGCCAACAGCAATTACTGAGCGAGCGCTCAGCGGGAAGAAGACTTTAGCAGCGCGCTGCTGTCAGGCCGCTGTTCCCGCACCGGGGGACTAATGCTTTCATCGTTCTAGCGAGCTCGTTTCAATGAGACCTCGGGGATTCGGCACGGCAAAATTATTCCCATTTTTTCAGCCGTCATAGAAGACGAGTGCAGCTGCTCGTCTGACGCTCACGTGCGCTGCATTTATGCACGACTCCCGTCGTTTGCTCACATTGTGCCGGGAAATATTCCTAGTGTGTGTAATTGAGTCCTGGACTTACACTGTCACTGATTCTTTTAAGTGGAGGGAACTTTTAATGAACCTTCGTCTATGTTTCATCTGTGTCCTGAAATAAAGATTCTCGATGTTCAGAGTGATAATTCACACAGAAACGCAAATTCTTCTTTCTTCTGTGCAACAAACAGTTGGTGCTTTTAAGTAAGACTGGGGTACAAACAACATTTTCTAAACATCTTTCTCTTTTTTTTTTTGCATTTCACAAAAGAAAGTCATTTGTACATTAGCGCTGCACAATTAATTGACTTATAAATAAAATCATGAAATGCCGTGCTCATCTGAAAATGAGGAAATAAATGAAATATTAGTATTGCAATTTTAAGGCTGTATTGTAAAATAACATTACTTTTGATCAAATACTCTTTCGTTAGCATGAATTTTTATATGCGATAAATTATATATTATAAAACCATATAATATAATGATATATTATATCGCATTTATATGTGATAAATGATATTTTATAAAACGTGTATCAATATAAATATTCAATTATAACCTTTTAATAATAATTAAATGCAAATGAAATATTTGTATTTTTAATTATATATTCAATCTATAAAACAATATACATATATACTGTAAAATAATATAATTGTTTATTTTACAGTGAAATATTACAACAGTAGTATTTCATATTTTGCTTAATATTTGTACGTAGTATAATCAGTCCCACAAACAAACACAGCACACTTGGAGATTTTTAGCAAAATTACTAAATCAATAAATGTAAAAATTGCAATTGCAGTAAACTTCTTATCAGATTTTTTCACCAAATCATGAAGGTGCGTAAATAATGACAGAATCTTCATTTCTGAGTGAAAGGAATTCTTTAAAGGATTTTCCTAAATATTTAACGAGGAATTACAGCTTTCGAGCTCTTAGAAATGACGAAGTCATTAAAGAGACACAATAAAACATTTACAACCATTAATCATCTCTCCTTCAGCAGTAGAATGATAAAAAAACAAGACAAAATTACTCTAAGAATCACTCGTATGCAAAATACAAACAAGTAATAAAATAATAACGTAATCTTTCTAAACCCGCAGCGCTGGATAAATGAGGAGCAATCAGTGTGATGTTCACGGCTGCGTCTCGCTTTGATCCGAGCAACTTCAGGCTTGTTAACAAAAATTGCAATTGCAGTAAACTTCTTATCAGATTTTTTCACCAAATCATGAAGGTGCGTAAATAATGACAGAATCTTCATTTCTGAGTGAAAGGAAATCTTTAAAGGATTTTCCTAAATATTTAACGAGGAATTACAGCTTTCGAGCTCTTAGAAATGACGAAGTCATTAAAGAGACACAATAAAACATTTACAACCATTAATCATCTCTCCTTCAGCAGTAGAATGATAAAAAACAAGACAAAATTACTCTAAGAATCACTCGTATGCAAAATACAAACAAGTAATAAAATAATAACGTAATCTTTCTAAACCCGCAGCGCTGGATAAATGAGGAGCAATCAGTGTGATGTTCACGGCTGCGTCTCGCTTTGATCCGAGCAACTTCAGGCTTGTTAAAGCGTTTTCTGTCCTTGTTCTGTTAAAACTGATTTTGCTTTGAACGCTGGCCTGTGATTGAGAAAGACGACAATGGTTTCTTCCCAACCGTCATTAACTGAGAGACCCGTTAAACTCAGTAAACAGGTGAGTGTGAACACTGAGATCACAGAATACACTGCTAAATTATACCAAGTGCCCATAATGGAATCTCATTGGCTGTGTAAACACTAAATGAGCTCTGATTGGCTGAGTCTGTGCTGTGCAGTGTGTGGGACTGGGTTGTAAACGGCTGCTGGACAGCACAGAATGAAAGGACGGAGAGGGAGTAAGTGAAAGAGGCGTTTTAGTGGCTGCCGTCCCTAAAGACGAGCCAGGCGTCGCTCCGGTAAACAGGTAATTACGCCGCTCCAGCGCAGCTAAACCAGTCTATTAAAGGAAGTGATTGCGTTCCGAGCGCTGGAACTCACCGCGGTCCGGCACTCCAGAAACATCTCTCAACAATTAACTAGCAATCAGACACGGCCTCCAGGGGCATGCTGGGAGAACGCATAGCGGCCAGACGCATAGCGGCTAATCCATTTATTCTGTACTAAACCCCCCACAACAACAACAAAAGATGATTAATTGTTTCAAGACGCAGTTTCAGCATTAAATGGCTCAGTGTGTGTGTGTAACAACTTCTAACACACTTCAGTCCAAAGTTTCCAAATTTAAATGGTTTAGAAATTATTTGGTCTAAACCATTCAGTGTGTTCTGAATATAGGACTCAGTGTGTTATAGAGGAGGGTCTCAAATCTGATTTTCTTAAAATATTTGAACCTAGAGCACAAAAGCAGTGTTAAGTCGCTGGGGGATATTTGTAGCAATAGCCAACAATACATTGTATGAGTCACAATTATACATTTCTCTTTTATGCCAAAAATCATTAGGATATTAAGTAAAGATCATGTTCCATGAAGATATTTAGTAAGTTTCCTACCGTAAATATATCAAAACTTAATTTCTGATTAGTAATATGCATTGCTAAGAACTTCATTTGAACAATTTTAAAGATGATTTTCTCAATATTTAGATTTTTTTGCACCCTCAGATTCCAGATTTTCAAATAGTTGTATCTCTGCCAAATATTGTCCTATCCTAACAAACCACATATCAATGGAAAGCTTATTTATTCGGCTTGTATAGATCTCAACTTAAAAAAAAATTACCCTTATGACTGATTTTGTGGTCCAGGAGTAACATATCTTGATATATCTAAAGGGGTTCCCCAGGGTTCCATTTTAGGACCTATTTTTTTTTCTATTTATATAAATGACTCGGGTAAGGACACTCAAGCAAAAAAACAAAACAAAACATTTTTATGCTGATGACACTATTATTTATACACTTGCTCCAATTTTAACACAGGCGGTGAAAGAGCTTCAGACTGCATTTCAGTCACTGGAAAGTGCTCTGGTGAGCTTAAAATCACAGAAAACAAAGTTCATGTTTTTTTTCAAAGGCTCATTCACACGTAATTGATAATCTTAGCATTTTTACATCTGATGGTAAAACTATTGAAAGAGTACCCTCTTACAAGAACTTGGGCATTTGGATTGACGATAAACTTTTATTCAATGTACATATTGCTAATCTAATCAGGAAGCTCAAAGCGAAGCTCGGCTTTTATTTTAGAAATAAACCTAATTTTACGTTTAATGCCAAAAAGAAGCTTGTAGAACTCCAACTTTATTTATAAAGCACCTAATAAAACAACCAAGTTGACCAAAGTGCTGTACAGGAAGTTCTATTAAAAGAATATAAAAGCAAATAATAAATAACCCCCAAAAAAGAAGAAGCTACCTTCCTAACTGTGCTCGATTATGGTGATATATTATACATGCATGCAGCCTCCTCCATCTTAACATGCCTCGATTCAGTGTACCATGCTTCATAACATTTGATCTCAAATGCATAATCCAGTACTCATCACTGTATTCTGTATGAGATGGTGGGTTGGACATCACTAACCATATTTAAAACGAGATAAATTTGTGTCTTCTGGTGAATTTAAAGAGAGTGGTGATGGAGGCTTGTGATTGTTTTTGTTGAGAGGATATTATGTTTTAATCTGGTTCTAATGTGTATTTGTTGTATTTTTAAATGTTGTCTGCCTTGGCCAGGTCTCTCATGTAAAAGAGATTTTAATCTCAATGAGACTTTCTGGTTAAATAAAGGTAAATAAAGTTTTTCAGACACAAAATAATGACCGTTTGTCTTACCTTGTGTGGCGATGTAGTGATTGGGTCGATGGTAGCCCTATAAAAACAACAAGAACCATAAAACATTACATCGTGGAACATGGAAAAATTCTATTTCAACTACATAACATCATAAAAATTTTAATATTTTGGTAACACTTTACAATAAGGCTCCATTTGTTTACATTAGTCAACTACATCAGTTTTCATTTTAGTTTGCCATTTTTTTTATATACGTCTATAGCTTTTATTAATTTTTATTTTGGTTTCATCTTTAATTATTTTAATAGCTATTCGTTTCTAGATGCATTCATAAACTAAATGAACATGAGAAATGTTGCTTTGTCAACCAGCTGAAATCAAATAATTTTTGAGATATCATTTCATTTGATTATTTCAAGTGACACGAATGTGTTTATGGTTTTAGTCGACTATAATAACCCTGATTTAACTATAATAAACGCATTGGTTTACAGTCAGCGCTTGATATTCTCGTCACTGGCTGATATCACAGTAATTCCTCAGCACAGATTGTGGGATTATGTTCAGAATAGGCTCAGTGTCTGTGGGATTCAGTTAATCCGCTCATTTCATTTGTCAAGCGTCTTGTCTCTGCAGCGCCACACTCTTCCTCCTCTCCGCTCCTCTTCCTCCTGATCTCAGCGTATTTAACTGTAATTAGCGTCTGGAAGAAAGGCTCTGATGGAGAGGCGACGCATCTATCAGCTTCTCTCTTTATCTTTATGCGGCCCAGCGTGAAATTTGTTTATGTCTGAGCCGGAGAACCGAGAAAACCATCTGTTTACACACCGGTGTGCGTCAGACCAGCCAACCTTTCATTCTTTACAGAACATTTATTATAAAAATACACAAAACATTTTTAAATCCTAAAACTATAAGATGTTCTAAAATGGCGTTTTGGTTTGTGTTTGTTCACGTTAACTGAACACCAAATGAAGACAGACCACAAACTTCTACTATATATTTAATAATTTAATATTATAATTTATAATATCTATCTATCTATCTATATAAATTGTATCTTTATAAATCTTTACTGACACTAAATTTAAACACTTTTGTTCCAAATACAAAACTTCTTTAGAAGCTAAAATTGTAAAAAAGTTGCCAAAATTGTATTATATATGTATTTACATGTGTATTTTATAAATCATGTTACCATTACTACAGACTAACCTCAACCTAAAACTCAAATAATAATAATAATAATAACAAATAAATAACTAAATAAAAAAAAACATAGTTTGCTTTATTTTAGATTTTTTTTTACCTTTATAAATTAATAAATAGAATTTAGTGAGCAAAAATAAAACTTCTTTAGATATTAAAATGAAAAGAAATGAGCTAAAATGGTGTTTGTGTTTGTTCACGTTTACTCAACTCTAAATGATGATATACCATAAACCTCTGTTTTATATACAGTGGGTACGGAAAGTATTCAGACCCCCTTAAATTTTTCACTCTTTGTTATATTGCAGGATATATCTAAAGGGGTTCCCCAGGGTTCCATTTTAGGACCTATTTTTTTTTCTATTTATATAAATGACTCGGGTAAGGACACTCAAGCAAAAAAACAAAACAAAACATTTTTATGCTGATGACACTATTATTTATACACTTGCTCCAATTTTAACACAGGCGGTGAAAGAGCTTCAGACTGCATTTCAGCCACTGGAAAGTGCTCTGGTGAGCTTAAAATCACAGAAAACAAAGTTCATGTTTTTTTTCAAAGGCTCATTCACACGTAATTGATAATCTTAGCATTTTTACATCTGATGGTAAAACTATTGAAAGAGTACCCTCTTACAAGAACTTGGGCATTTGGATTGACGATAAACTTTTATTCAATGTACATATTGCTAATCTAATCAGGAAGCTCAAAGCGAAGCTCGGCTTTTATTTTAGAAATAAACCTAATTTTACGTTTAATGCCAAAAAGAAGCTTGTAGAACTCCAACTTTATTTATAAAGCACCTAATAAAACAACCAAGTTGACCAAAGTGCTGTACAGGAAGTTCTATTAAAAGAATATAAAAGCAAATAATAAATAACCCCCAAAAAAGAAGAAGCTACCTTCCTAACTGTGCTCGATTATGGTGATATATTATACATGCATGCAGCCTCCTCCATCTTAACATGCCTCGATTCAGTGTACCATGCTTCATAACATTTGATCTCAAATGCATAATCCAGTACTCATCACTGTATTCTGTATGAGATGGTGGGTTGGACATCACTAACCATATTTAAAACGAGATAAATTTGTGTCTTCTGGTGAATTTAAAGAGAGTGGTGATGGAGGCTTGTGATTGTTTTTGTTGAGAGGATATTATGTTTTAATCTGGTTCTAATGTGTATTTGTTGTATTTTTAAATGTTGTCTGCCTTGGCCAGGTCTCTCATGTAAAAGAGATTTTAATCTCAATGAGACTTTCTGGTTAAATAAAGGTAAATAAAGTTTTTCAGACACAAAATAATGACCGTTTGTCTTACCTTGTGTGGCGATGTAGTGATTGGGTCGATGGTAGCCCTATAAAAACAACAAGAACCATAAAACATTACATCGTGGAACATGGAAAAATTCTATTTCAACTACATAACATCATAAAAATTTTAATATTTTGGTAACACTTTACAATAAGGCTCCATTTGTTTACATTAGTCAACTACATCAGTTTTCATTTTAGTTTGCCATTTTTTTTATATACGTCTATAGCTTTTATTAATTTTTATTTTGGTTTCATCTTTAATTATTTTAATAGCTATTCGTTTCTAGATGCATTCATAAACTAAATGAACATGAGAAATGTTGCTTTGTCAACCAGCTGAAATCAAATAATTTTTGAGATATCATTTCATTTGATTATTTCAAGTGACACGAATGTGTTTATGGTTTTAGTCGACTATAATAACCCTGATTTAACTATAATAAACGCATTGGTTTACAGTCAGCGCTTGATATTCTCGTCACTGGCTGATATCACAGTAATTCCTCAGCACAGATTGTGGGATTATGTTCAGAATAGGCTCAGTGTCTGTGGGATTCAGTTAATCCGCTCATTTCATTTGTCAAGCGTCTTGTCTCTGCAGCGCCACACTCTTCCTCCTCTCCGCTCCTCTTCCTCCTGATCTCAGCGTATTTAACTGTAATTAGCGTCTGGAAGAAAGGCTCTGATGGAGAGACGACGCATCTATCAGCTTCTCTCTTTATCTTTATGCGGCCCAGCGTGAAATTTGTTTATGTCTGAGCCGGAAAAACCGAGAAAACCATCTGTTTACACACCTGTGTGCGTCAGACCAGCCAACCTTTCATTCTTTACAGAACATTTATTATAAAAATACACAAAACATTTTTAAATCCTAAAACTATAAGATGTTCTAAAATGGCGTTTTGGTTTGTGTTTGTTCACGTTAACTGAACACCAAATGAAGACAGACCACAAACTTCTACTATATATTTAATAATTTAATATTATAATTTATAATATCTATCTATCTATCTATATAAATTGTATCTTTATAAATCTTTACTGACACTAAATTTAAACACTTTTGTTCCAAATACAAAACTTCTTTAGAAGCTAAAATTGTAAAAAAGTTGCCAAAATTGTATTATATATGTATTTACATGTGTATTTTATAAATCATGTTACCATTACTACAGACTAACCTCAACCTAAAACTCAAATAATAATAATAATAATAACAAATAAATAACTAAATAAAATAAAACATAGTTTGCTTTATTTTAGATTTTTTTTTACCTTTATAAATTAATAAATAGAATTTAGTGAGCAAAAATAAAACTTCTTTAGATATTAAAATGAAAAGAAATGAGCTAAAATGGTGTTTGTGTTTGTTCACGTTTACTCAACTCTAAATGATGATATACCATAAACCTCTGTTTTATATACAGTGGGTACGGAAAGTATTCAGACCCCCTTAAATTTTTCACTCTTTGTTATATTGCAGCCATTTGCTAAAATCATTTAAGTTCATTTTTTTCCTCATTAATGTACACACAGCACCCCATATTGACAGAAAAACACAGAATTGTTGACATTTTTGCAGATTTATTAAAAAAGAAAAACTGAAATATCACATGGTCCTAAGTATTCAGACCCTTTGCTGTGACACTCATATATTTAACTCAGGTGCTGTCCATTTCTTCTGATCATCCTTGAGATGGTTCTACACCTTCATTTGAGTCCAGCTGTGTTTGATTATACTGATTGGACTTGATTAGGAAAGCCACACACCTGTCTATATAAGACCTTACAGCTCACAGTGCATGTCAGAGCAAATGAGAATCATGAGGTCAAAGGAACTGCCTGAAGAGCTCAGAGACAGAATTGTGGCAAGACACAGGAGGCCAAGATAGAACTTTTTGGCCTTAATTCTAAGTGGTATGTGTGGAGAAAACCAGGCACTGCTCATCACCTGTCCAATACAGTCCCAGCAGTGAAGCATGGTGGTGGCAGCATCATGCTGTGGGGGTGTTTTTCAGCTGCAGGGACAGGACGACTGGTTGCAATTGAGGGAAAGATGAATGCGGCCAAGTACAGGGATATCCTGGACGAAAACTTTCTCCAGAGTGCTCAGGACCTCAGACTGGGCTGAAGGTTTACCTTCCAACAAGACAATGACCCTAAGCACACAGCTAAAATAATGAAGGAGTGGCTTCACAACAACTCTGTGACTGTTCTTGAATGGCCCAGCCAGAGCCCTGACTTAAACTCAATTGAGCATCTCTGGAGAGACCTAAAAATGGCTGTCCACCAACGTTTACCATCCAACCTGACAGAACTGGAGAGGATCTGCAAGGAGGAATGGCAGAGGATCCCCAAATCCAGGTGTGAAAAACTTGTTGCATCTTTCCCAAAAAGACTCATGGCTGTATTAGATCAAAAGGGTGCTTCTACTAAATACTGAGCAAAGGGTCTGAATACTTAGGACCATGTGATATTTCAGTTTTTCTTTTTTAATAAATCTGCAAAAATGTCAACAATTCTGTGTTTTTCTGTCAATATGGGGTGCTGTGTGTACATTAATGAGGAAAAAAATTAACTTAAATGATTTTAGCAAATGGCTGCAATATAACAAAGAGTGAAAAATTTAAGGGGGTCTGAATACTTTCCGTACCCACTGTATATATATAATTTTTACTTTTATAAATCGACTGAATTTAGAGAAGAAATAAATACAAAAATAAATGTACATAATTTTGTAATAAAACAAAAATGTAACTTTTTTACGAGTAAAAGTAAAATGAGCTAAAATTGTGTTTTTGTTCATATATATATATCTTGTTACAATTGTTACATACTAACTCTAACCTAAAACTCAAAAGCTAAAGTATTGTTTACTCTATTTATGAATAATTCACATCTCTAAAAAGCAAGCTGGTCACATTGAGCCGAGTTCTGGCTAAAGTTGATTAGGAGTAACTAACGAAGCCCTGCCTGGACTCATGAAAGATTCAGTGCGTCTGGAGTGTGTGATTGTGAAGATGAACTGGAGGCGTGTTGAGAAGAGGCAGAAGTCTTTATCAGTGCTGATGGACTTCAGGGTCAGGGTTTCTCTGCTGAATGTTAAAACCACACAGACACACTTTAATGATCTGCCCTGAGAATTCATCTCCAAAACAAATGATTATTATTAACCGCCTTCTGCTTCTTTACTGATCCGCCTCATTAACTTTACCAGAGTAACACAGACACACCAGTAAACCTCATTAAAGGGCACGTTCACGCACAAAATCATCATTCTGTCGTCATTTACTCGCAGCTTTGCTCCAAACCGGTTCAGTTTCATTTCTGTGCAGCTGCTCTTTTTTATTTCATTTTACAATTCTGATTGTTTACATAATAAATATTAATACTTATTAATAGTAATATTACTACAGTACATAAATTTATTATTTAATTGTAATTATTCAATATTAATTAATTAATGATTAAGAATATAAAAAATAAAAATATTATATATTATATATAATAAAAGTATTAATATTAAAATGTTACTAACATAATTAAAATTAAATAATATTAACATTTTTAAAATTTAAATATAATTTTTTCAATTAACATTTAAAAAATATAACATAAAATACAACATATATATATATATATATATATATATATATATATATATATATATATATATATAATAAAGACATGATAAAAA